TCTTCTTCTTCTTCTTCTTCTTCTTCTTCTTCTTCTTCTTCTTCTTCTTCTTCTTCTTCTTCTCTTTCTCTCTCTCTCTCTCTCTCTCTCTCTCTCTCTCTCTCTCTCTCTCTCTGGGACACTCTAGGAGGCAGTGCATGACCTCCTGTCCTTTTAGGTTGGCCGTGGAATGGTTGTGACACCTGTGGCTCCCCAGGCCCTGTGCCCTTGGAACTCTCCACTCTGGGCTGAGCTCCTTTCTCTCAGAAGCTGTGTCTCCAGAGCTTGAAGAAATGCAGAGAGAAACAGAGCAAGGTGCACAGCCCAGCCTCGCTCCTGAGGACAAAGCCTCTGCTCCAAGGCAGAAGCCCACGTTGCTGCAGGCTGGGGCCAAAGGATCTGTATCTCTGCAGAGAAGACCAGGCAAGCGGCAGCGCAGAAGCCAGCAACTGCAGTACCTGCCTGAGGAGTTGCGGGCAAAGCAGCAGGAGGCCCGAGCCCAGCAAGTCAGACGCCTGCAACGACTGTGCTTAGCCTATCTATGGGGTGGGGCTGCAAGGTGGGCAGTGAGAAGTGAACCCCACTCAGCTGAGCCCATCCTTCGAGGAGCAGCAAGATCCCCTGGGGGCAGACAGAAGTGTAGAGAACCCCTTAAAGAAGAGAGAAGTCACAGGGAAGTGCGACCCAGACAACAAGGCTGGCGCCCCAATTCCCTGAAGAAAACAACAGGGTTGGAGAGATGGGGGACTGCCCCAATGCAGCATCTGAGTCCTCCTGAGAAGAGTAGAGGGAAACAGACTCTTTCAAAGCAGACCAATGGTGGCCGCCAGGGTCAGGTGGGCAGAAGGACTGACCTTGAAAAGCTGACTCCACTCTGGGCCACTGTGGAGGAAATGAAGTTCCTGGAGGGCGAAGAGAAGGAGAGAACCCCCGAGGGGACATGGCAGCTGGGAAAGGGGACCACCACCCACTTTGCTCAAGGCCTGAGAAATAACATAGAGGACCTAGAGCAGCTGTGGCAGGTTAGCTCTACCCACAAGAAGGAAGCCACGCCCTTGGCGTCTCCATGCCAGTGTGGTGACAAGGATGACTGGCAGAAAGAGCTGGAGTCTCTCTGGGAGGAGCTGTTTAATACAAGCAGAAAGCTGAAAGAACATCTGACTTGGCACCTTGAACAGAGGTCCTTGGTAGACCAGAACCCTGCTGGAGAGCAGCTTTTCTTAGAGAGGCAGGGACCCAATAGTGACACCCCTGGAGAGGAAGGGACAGGACACTCAGAAACTGTATCTGCTGCAGAAGTGGACTCCCCCCAGACAGCATCCCAGTGCAGTTTGCTGCAGTTACCAAACCAGGCTGAGAGCACCAAAGAAGGTCATTTGGCCCCACCCATGACCAAGAATGAAAGTCAGATGCCACCTCTCGAGGACGGGGTATCTGTGGACAGAGAGAGTTCAACCCTGCCAAGCCCCAGCCCCAGCCATGAGCCACCCAATCCAGTCCCAGTGGAGAAGGGCTCACCTCCACCTTGCCCGCAGGAGCGGCAGGACCAGGCAGACTGGAGGACATTGAGGCAGGAGCAGAAGACGGGGGTGGAGGGGAGAGGGCAGAAGAGCGCACTGGAGCACACAGAGCACTCCAACATGAGCTTGGAAATCCACTACAAGGCTGAGCTGGAGGAGGAGCGGCGGGCGCGGAGGAAGACTCGCCTGGCCCTTCTGAAGGCCTACCCCACGGGGGTCCCCGCCAGGAAACCAGGACCGGTACCCAGAACCCACTCCCCTCTGTATAGCAGGAGCATCGACGAGGAGCAGCACGATCAGATGGTCCGTGACTTCCAACGGCGGATCTTAGAGCAAAACAAGCTGCATGAGCAGTTTCTAGAAAAAGCCAGGAAGCGTTTGCAAGTGTTTCAGAAAACATGGTAAAGGCGAGAGACCTGCCCGCAATAAATACATCCCTAACAAGGTCTGTACGGATGTCCTGTCCTCCCAAGCCCCCAGGCCTGCGTACAGGGGGTGGCTTGTGGTCACACAAAAATAGGGCCCTGTGTGGGATTCAGGGCTGGTCTAGCCAGAGTACCAGAGACACATCTCCCAGAGGAGGGGTGGTCTTTATGTGCCATAGGCTCCTGTGAAAACTCCAGGTAAATTTGGCTCTTCATTTGCAGGGATATCTGAGGTCAGATGGGCATAGTCTCAAGAATCATCATTTGATGCTTAACACTGGCCGAGACATTGCACCAAAACCTCTCTTAGCCATTCAAACGATGAAACCAACACTGTTTAATAGCCTACATCTTAATGCATTCTTATAAGCTTACTGGGAAGGGGAAAGAAAAGATGTCAGTTGTGCTGGGTGACTTCCTCTGGAAAGACCGCACAGGACACCTGGGGGTCAGTTCAGTCTGTGGATACCCCTGACCCAGCAGCCAGCTAAGCCATGAAAACCCCATACTGGGTAGGTTTAGGGGGGAATGTCTGCAAAGTACAGACTTAGTGACAGGGGCAGGGGTCCACACACTTTTTCTGCAAAGAGAGTATATGTGTAGCCATGTCAGCCAGCTTCTGACCACTGCCCAACTCTTACCCTCAAAGCCAGAAACTGCCATGGAGGACACAGAAACCAAGGGTGTGACAAGTGTGTAAAAGACTTGGTTTATAGAAACAGGTACTGGAGAGGTATGTGTTAGCCCCTGCTCTGGACTAGTCCTTGAGCCTGGATCCCTTCCCTCCCCATCCTTCATCTTCCAAGGACCTCAAGTTTCTTGCCTTGGATCAGCCATCTTTGGCCATGCCACATTGGTATCACTGACCCATGAATGGCCTGATTTAATCTGTATGTATTTTGTAGATGGCATGATGACCTGCTGTGAGCCCACAACCCAAACCGGAGACCCAAAACGTCTCCTGAGAAACATATATTGAGCCACCCATGTGTCTGTGTTTTTTTATACCTGTCTCCTCAGATACAAAGCTGGGGTTGTGGGTTCTCTGTACCCATCAGCATATATGTACGTGCCACCCTCTACTGTTCAGTGTCTCTGGTTTGAATTCTGTAAGAAAGATAAAACACTTTGGGTGATCTTTTGGAAGTGTTTCTTTTCTGTTTTGGCCTTCATACAGTCCCTGGCATCTGCCCCATCATGCCAAGACCAACTTCCTCATCTTCCCTGGGTATGATACCCAACGTGGCTCTCCACCCTCCTTTTTAGGACCACAGCTTCTTTTGTACCTTGGTTTCTGAAAAAAGAACCAAATCCCTAATGCATTTGGGTCAAAAGTCTGGATGTCAAAAATGTGCTTGTGTGATTTAATCCCAACTTTGGGCAACAATTTTTGTTTCAGATGTTTCTGGGAGCTTTGCAGTCCCCAGGTGGGGTGGAGGGGGTGTGGGAACAGTTTGCTCCTTTTCTTCCATTTCTACCGTTTTTTGCTTGGAAGAAGCTGACCTCCTCTAAAATTTGTCACTGACAAATCCTGAGTGCACAGGCCCAAGGAGAACCACAAGGCTTCCATGGAGGTTACAGGTAATAAGCAAAGCTTGTAATGACACCTGAGGAGGGATAGAGCCACAGCGAGGTGCTGGATGCTGACCAGGAGTGTGGCGCTGAGAAACCCAATGAGCACCATGATAATACCTTGTTGCAGAGGGTGCAGTGGCCCCTGATGGGACAGGCAGTGTGTAACCAAGGTCCTCCTGGCGTAGCCTGAAACCACAGCCTCAGAAGTGGATGAGCCTTGCTAGGAGTAGGTTATTTTTGTTTCCATTGCCGAAGGTAGTATTTGTGGCCCATGTTTTCTAAGTGAGGAATTGCCCCTTCTCGGCCACACTAGAGCTAAAAGTAGGTGTGGAAATGGACGGGTGGAAGGGTGACTCATCTTTGCCCCGACAATCACACCCACACTGTCCCCTGGCAGCAGGGTGACACACCCTGGCCTTTTCTACCTGTCTCTGAGAAGGTCAAGAAGGATAGGCTAGCATTGGCCTGGGTCCCTGGAGTAGGTACTAAATCACCCTACCAGGATTCCACCCAGAAAACCAAGATATCATCCAGAAATATGTAAGCACTTTCCTGGCCCACCTGCAGGGCCTGAGGGTCTCAGCAGACCCTCACAGTCATCATGGAATGACTGGGCAGTGGTGCGCAGAGCTCTGGGGCAGGCAGGAGCCTCCCTGGTCCTCCATTTCAGGCCCTCAGCAGCCTCCATGAGGAGACAGCACAGTGGTATGGTGATGCAGGCTCGGCCACCTGACCGTGGCTCAGTGACTGGGGCAGGGTGTCCTCTGTGTGTTTCCTCCTGAGCTGTGTGTCTCCACCTCTATGCTTGGGCCTAGGTTCCAGCTGTCTCTCCCATGCCACCATCATGCTTGACCCAACTGCACGGAAGTACAGGACCCACAGGAGGCTAGACGGCCAGGATTGGCAGTCTAGTTTGGGTTCATGCCCAGCCCTGCAAGCTGCCTGCCCTCACCAGCCTCTGTAGGGCTGGGAAATGGGAGGCAGTGCCACTGGAAGGCACAGATCCTCCCAGAGCTTGGCACAGGGCACTGCCTAGTAGTGGAGAGGCTCAGACATGGAGGATGTGTCTTTCTCCTCCTAAAGCCCTCTCCAGAGGTATGCCTGGGACACTGTTCTAGAGTGTTCTGCAGGCTCCTCCTGGCATCTGCCCTCACATGTAGGGGACAGAGTCCCCGTTCCCCGCTCATCATTTATTAGAACCCTGGTCATTGGTCACTTCATTGAATCCCTGCTTCCTGCCTCATTCTCCCCAAACTACGGGGACTGAACCACATTGCCTTTGAACGTGGCCTGATGGGTGTGGGCTGCTCCCCTGCCCCATCCGCCTGTGGCCAGTGGACCCATACCAGCCTCCAGGACCTCAGCTACATACGTGGATGAGGAAGTAGAGTTTTTACAGTTGACCAGGAGCCTCTCTGAACTGCAGGAGTTCCTCCAATGAGCAGGAAAATGGCAGCGCCATCAGGACCAGGCCTCCAAAAAGAGGTGGGCAGCGTCTGATCTGCAGCCAGCACTCTGGAGGATCGGATGGTTATTTGTCTCCCCAGAGCAGCCCCTGGGACAGTCCAGCTACAGACAGTGGGCTACACTGATGGGGTGCAGGAACATGATCACAGTGTCCCCACTCTAGTTCTCTCCTTGGAGCCTGGAAGCACTGGGGCCTCTGGAGTTCCAGCCTTCACACCCCTGATTCTGTAGCCTTAGACTTACAAGGAGTCAAGTTCAGCCCACAGGCTGCATGCCTTAGGGTCCCACACAGGGGACACAGCTAGCAAATTGTCACTATTGACCAGGCCTGAAACAAGGGTCCATGGGTTCAGCCCTTCTGGTTCACTCCTGAAAATGAGTCAGTGATGAGGAATGGAGGACTGCCCAGGGTCACACAGCTCTGGGCAGCGGCTGAGGAAGGGACCCTCATCAGCCACCTGTGCTTCTGAGCTGTCCCTTACCTCCACCTCTTCTTCTTCCTCCTCCTCCTCCTCCTCAGCCCGTGGTCTTCAGGGGGTTGCAGAGGGCCAGTGGGGTTCCCGGAGTGCCCTCTGTGCTCACTCTGCCTCCTGTCCACGCCCACTGGGCTGCAAGCTGGGGTTTGCAGGGCTGAGCTTGGCTCCTGCATGGGCTCTTGGCGGAGAACTGCAGAGCACGGTTCCCTCCACAAAGCCGCACTGTTCTCAGCAAACCCTCCCAGGAGCGGGAGGCATTTTTTTCAAATGATTCAGCAGCACGTGAAAGGGAAGGGCCAAGCCCAAGGCTCTGGCAGGAGAGCTCGCTGGTCCACAGCGGGGGAGAGGGAGGGTGGCAAGGCATGGGTCGGGGTCCCAGCCGAGACAGAGGGTAGGGGCAGGATCCTGGGGGCCAGGAAGGCTGGGCAAAGAGGCTGAGACTTTTCTCTGCATGACTGAATCGCTCCCAGAGGAAGCCAAAGCAAATGGGCAGGAAATGGAGATGGGAGAGCTGGTCTCCATGGAGACAGACATCCAGTGGACAGCTGCTCACGTGTGCAATAGAATCTTGAGCAGCCAGGCAGGCCTGGCACATTGAGCAGCCAGAGGCCAGCTCGTGAGTGGCATGGCCCAGAGTTGTGTGCACACTTGCTCTCCTCTGATCTGTGCCTGGCACCCCCTTCTCCCTTGCTGGTCTACTCTCCACCACCCCCACTTTTACTCCAAACCTATCTGCTTAAGCAGTTCTCACTCCAGGCCTAAGCGACATAGCTAAGTGTCATCCTCTCCTGGGCAGGCCCAGCACTGCCCCAAAGCTAGGGCTCTGCTTGATTCTTCCCAGGAGCCCCATCTGCTCCTTTTCCCACTCCTTCCCAAGCCTCTGGAACTGCTGGGGGCAGGTACTTTTGGAAGGTCTGGTCTCTCTCAGCTGCTTCAGGGAGGGAATGAGCCCTGGACCCTGCCCACCATCACAGGGCTGTTTTTAATTACGAAGTGGACAGCCCTTTTTTCGGTCTCTTTTCTCTCAAAGGAGCAAACGTGGAGGTCGTTTGTGCTGCTGACCAAAGGGGCTGTCATGGAGAGGCCAGGGCAGGGCAGAGCTCAGGGGGAGCCCCCTAACTGTCCACCCAGGACACCTAGAGGGAACGGTGAGGTCAGAGGTGACAGGTGGATCTGGATACAGCTGCAGACTCCAGGGCACCCGACCTATGAGCTGGTTCTTTGCATTTCTAACACCTGCCACTGCTCACTCCTGCCTGTGTCCTGTGTCCTCCCTGGCACTCAGGGAAGGCCATGGCCTTGGCACCTGGAGAGCCAGCGTAGATCCACATCCTCAGAAGCACAGCGCCCCTTCCCAGTCACCATCTGCCCGTTCCACCAGCACTCACGGCCCTCTCTGCCCCTTGAGGCTGCGAGGTTGGCCTGTGCTGCTAACCTGAGTGAACACCCTCCCAGCGGGAGGGGTCTCAC